TAACCAGACCAAGTCTGGCGTATCGCATGCGCCTGCTGCCACACCGGCTGGAGAGGGCGTCTACGTGATCACCTCTACTGGAAGCGATAGCCATCTCGCGTACATGCTTACCCTGCCGTCTGACCTTGGCGAGGTGCAGAAGGAGCTTGGACTCAAGGAGAAGGGGAGCTTCATCTTGAGCACGAAGAATCCTTACAAGAAGGGCCCTGCAAACGCTAGTCTCGATCAGACTCCCGACTTCCCAGACAGGTACATAAGATCAGGATCAATCCCCCCCTAAGGCTGAGGTGGAGCGCTGACAGGTTGACATCTAGTATCAAGGACGACTTCCGCGACCTGCGGTGGACAAACACCAAGCCCGAGCATCTCGACTACCCCTATGCTCAATTCCTCCTCATTGGCCAGTCTGGAATCGGGAACGCCGTCGAGCCAAAGTCCAAAGACGTCAAAGCTGGCAAGGAGAACCCAGAGGACGTTCTCGAGGAGATTGCCGAAGAGGACGAAAAGCGCATGGAGCACCTCTCTGGTGACGACTCGGCTTCCATCTTTGCGGACCTACAGGCGCGGGCCAAGGACTATCCGAAGCTGCAGACTACCTTTTGATTTTGACCGTGTTGCCTTCCTATTGGAAAAGTTGGCGTGTCGCCGTGTATTCTATCAACTTATGAGGAGGCGCACAAGGGATGGAAACCCCTGGATAGTTTATCAGTTCAGTCGTGCCACAAGGTGTAATTTGTAACAGAATATTATGTCTAATACACCAAATTAAGTGTTTCATTCCTGCAGTATTTTACACTGAATGAAACTCTCCTGGCGAGCCCATTGGAGTGACTGCGGTTCGAGCTAATTGTGGCACCGCAAAACTTCAATCCAATGACGTTTGAAGATTTCACACCCATAGTGATCCATCGAAGAAGCACTCTCCGCAGTTCTTGAAAACTTCCAATAATATCAGGTGGGCAACTTCCGCAAACAACCTCCTGAATGAAGGGTTAGGCTCTTTGGTAGCAACAATACTTTACCTGCAGAAAAGCTAAATTCACTCAAGTTCAGGGAGGAAGATAAGGATTCCTTAAAAACTTACCAGACCACATTGACGGCGGCTGTTGATTGATCTACCGCAAGTGTTAGCTAAGAAGTGATTGGTTTAGGTACTAAGGTACTTAAGCACCACATGCAGGATTCCGTCAAGGGCGGCGATCCTCCTCTTCCTTCGCCGATGGCCATGCGGCGAGGGAGCTGTGAGATCCCGATCGGCGTTAAGCAATGTCGGGGATGCGGAGCCCCGATCGCCGATACACGACGACCACGGCCCGTGATACCGACTTATACGGTAGGTAAGACGGGGCTGCACGAATGAGACTGCCGTCTTGCGAAAGTAAGCTGCATTCAAAGCGGCCGTCATTGGAATCTTATATAAAGCATCAATGAATCCTCGGTTGAATTCATCTATCTAAAGCACACTATCAACTTCATCAAGACCAATATACCACGACTTCATCACCAAGACATTCCTAAAATGACACCACTTATAGGAAAGACGGCAATCGTCACAGGAGCATCCCGCGGACTCGGCGCAGGCATGGCTCTAGACCTCGCACGCAAAGGCGCATCCGTAAGTCCCTCCAACGTCCCACCCTCCTACTGCTGCATTCGCTCACTAACAACAGGTCATGCTCCTCTACACCTCCGACTCAAGCGCCCCCAAAGTCCAATCCCTCATCACACAAATCACCTCCCTCCCACACACCCCCTCCGCAGTATCCTGCAAAGCAGACCTCTCCTCAGAAACCGCCCCCGCCGCAGTCCTCGCTGCCCTCGACGCCTGGCTCGGCCCAGACGCCCACATCGACATCCTAATCAACAACGCCGGCACAGAACTCAACGCGCCGCTAGGAAACATCACCACCGCCGACTTTGCAAAAGTATACGACCTCAACGTCCGCGCGCCGCTCCTCCTAACCCAGGCCCTTCTCCCGCGCCTGGCCCCAAAGGAGGCACGCATTATCAATATCGGCTCCGTTGGCGGACGGCAAGGGTTCCCTGGGTTGGGGCTGTATTGCTCCTCCAAAGCTGCGCTTGAGGGTCTGACGCGGGTTTGGGCGCGGGAGTTGGGGAGGAATGGGACGACCGTGAATTGTGTTGCGCCCGGGCCGGTGGAGAGCGATATGTTGGATAAGATTCCCAAGGAGCTGGTGGAGATGCAGAGGCGGCAGACGCCGGTGGAGAATCGGACGGGGACGGTGGAGGAGGTTGCGAGGATTGTGTCGTGGCTTGCTGGTCCTGAGAGTTCGTGGGTTAGTGGGCAGGTTATTAGTGCCAGTGGTGGTTGGGCGATGTACTGAGGGGGTTATGCATATCCTGTTTGAGAGGATGGAGCGGAGTCGACGAGAATTCGTACTTTGATATCGGGGGCTGTTGTCCAATACGTAGTCGGTGGCAGACAGGAACATATTGCTCACTCAAGCTTTAAAAATTTCACGATCATCACCTACTTGGGCCAGAAAAAATGCCTGCTACATTAAGAATTGAAGCATTCCTCGCAAGCAATAAATCTTGGGTATATTCTTTTTCCTATTCATCTCTCAGCATCTATGCAGAAGCCTTGGCAGCCTCCTTTTCCTTTGCCTTGGCGGCCTTCTTCTCGTCAATTTGGCGCTGCTTCTCCAGCTTCTTGAGCTGATTCTTCGTCATCTTGCCGTCGGCACCCTCAGCGGGGCCATCGGTGTTGGCCTCGCGGATAGGGATGGACTTGAGGTTCTCGGCAAGGCCCCAGGACAACGGCCGGCGGGAGAAGAAGAGGTTGACAGTCTCCTCGTCCACCTTGGCTCTCCTCTCCTGGAAGGCTGTGCAGTACTTGGCCAGCTCCTCGGCACACCTCTTCTTGATCTCGCCGGTGAGCATCTTCCCTGTGCGGTAGTCCTCGCGGATCTTGGCCAGCTCCTCATCATCGTCGAGGAAGAAGCGCAGGTATTGGTAGCTGACGTCGACTGAATATTGGTGTTAGCTACTACGCACACAAAGTCACATTCTGGGTCTGCGATCTTACCATCCGGATCGGCTCCCTCAGCGCGCTGCTCCTCGGCAGTAACCTTGCCACCGCTGAAGGCATACTTGTTCATCTTGTTCTGGATCTGCTTGGGTGTGTCGTTCAAGAAGATGGCACTTGAATCAATCGACGCCGACATTTTGGAGCCGGGCCCCTGAAGAGCATCAAGGAAACGAGAGTGAATGAGGGAGGGCTTGGCGTAGCGCAGGCCGGCGGCACAATCTCTTGTCACACGGAAGTAGGGATCTGTCTTGACGTTAATCTCATCTCGTTTTTATGGCTATACTGGGCAGGAAAGACAAACCTTGGTCAATGGCGCAAGGAATCAGGCAAGGAATCTGGGAAGTCTTCGCCTCGTCATCGCCAAAGATGTGGGGGAAGGAGTTGCCAAAGGAGGAGCTGGCTTGGATACTGGCAAAGTGAACCTTGCCAATGTTGGAACTGTCGTCGAAGCCGAAGACGGCCTTGGCTGTGTTCAGCGTGATTCTCTTGGCCACACGCGTGACGTTCCTACGGGAAAGTCAGCATTGGTTCTCGACTCTGCCTTGTACAGCTCGGAACGTACTTGTAGAAGTTGCCGCCCATGTAGTCGTAGTCGGAGAAAATGAAGGTCCTCTCGGGGTTGAATCCAATTGCAATGCTGCACAATGTTAGGACGCATACTTGCGGATAATGCTGGAAGTCTTACATGTCCTTGGCGTTTTCTCTTGTGTAGTGCTGAACCTCCTCGACCGTTCTCTTCTCAGAGAAGAGGAACTTCTCATCTATGCCTTCCAGTCAAAAGGGAGCTCCGGGATAATTCTTTAGCGCTTTCTCTTACCGTCGGTCATCATGATCTATGCTGGCATTAGCGACTAACTTTTCAAAAGAAGCAACTCCAAGCAGAACGTACCACCAGTGGCGCATCGAGCACATCTGACAACCACTTCGTCAACTGGAAAGGAATAGCATGACCAACGTGCATGCTGTCGGAACTCGGTCCACGGCCTTAATACAATCTTGTCAGCCATCGTCCTGGCCTATACTGCTTCCTATGTTGTTCTTCAGACTTTGTGACATCTTGAAGCCAACGCACCAGTGTAAATGAAGAAAGGCTGCTTCTTCTCGACGCGGTCGAGGATGAGGTCGAGATCGCGGTGGGAGAAGACAATCTGGCGACGAAGGAAATGGTGAGGTCTGTGACCAGTCACGCGCTCGAAGCGCTCGAGGAGGGCATCGTCAATCAGCTTCGTTCCGAACTCGTCGACGATTTTCTGTGCAGCAATCAAAGATCAGCTAGAGCTCTCCATTGACGAGGGGGCTGCAATTCTTACCTTGTAGTCAATGGCCTTAACCTTGCCATCAGTGCCGACCTGTTGCCTCGAGTCAGTACATGCTCTTCTCACTTATACGGCACTATTCGCAAACCCACTTCTCCAGACACGTTCCAGGGGTCGACTTTCTGGCCTCCTGAGGCTGCGGGCGCGTCCCCGACAGCTTCGGCGGGGATGGCGGCGGTCGGGGCTTCGGGTGCGGATGCCATTGTGTCGCGTGGTCTCGGTCGATGGTGTGGAGTGTCGATTGACGAGCGGAAGAAGATTTCAGGGTCTTGGCGGCTGGTCACTCGTCTTCTATACGCCTCTTGTGGTGACTCGAATTGCTTGATGACACAGAGCTGTCTGGGCAAAAGTTCCGAAAAGCGTGAGTCAATGGCGGGGTGAGGGTGTGCACCTGCCTTTGCGAGTCAAAGTGCGGCTCGTTTTCGGTGTGTACCCCGCTACCCCGCAGTCACCGACACACCACGGTCACTCCCTCGGTGGGAACCCGGTGGGGGCCAACATCGCTCTTGGATCGCGGATGCACAGCCACACGTATTCTGAGGGATCTTGAGGAATCATGGGTGGAGGAAAGAAGTGGTCATTTATTCAAGCTGAAAGCGAAAGTGTCAGATAATAATGCAATTCTCTTCCCGCTACTGTATCTTGACTGGTGTGCCGTTCTGCGAAATGCAATTGTCAGGCATGTAACCCACCCCAGTTCGTTCATACACCATCAATCCACCAGCACTCTTTAATGCCTTGGGGGTGATTAGCAAAACAAAACACCTCCGCACATCTTGCGTTTTGTCTCTAGACCTTCCCACTACAATCACTCTCACGTTTGGTAGTTGGCCATCACTTTTTGCCGGGTTGTCAAAGATGAGCTTGCTCGCCGAGTGATGGCCGTCGAGCTGAGAAAACTCACGAGCAACAGCGCTGAGACTGATTCCCAGGCTTTTGTCCGAAGTGTGATAAAACCCATCCGGCGACTTGTTAGCCCATGGCGACTGGATCTCACTCTTCTCCCAGTCCACGCCATCAAATGGAGGCTCCAGATAGTCAATTCCTCCTTTGTAGGCCATCCAGGACCATGTAGGGACTTCAAGGTCTCTTTCGGCAGGGAAGATGATCCTGTCGAGGGCTGAATCAGATGCTCTCTGCCAAAGAAGGCTCCGCCGTAGTAATCCACCGCCGTCGTCAAAGACACCATAGCCGCCGTGAGTCTTGAAGCTTTGGATGAGTCTCTTTTCAAGACCAGCTATACCGAATGGTCTGTCTTCATTTCGAGAAAACTGCAGACGCGAGTATTGCTTGTATAAGTCTTGGTAAAGATGAATTTTGGCGCCTCTTGGCGAGTTCATGGCGATTGTGGGAAATCGTGGATCACCGAGGAACGCGGCAACATTGCTATAGACGTGAAGTGTCAGCTTGAGCCAAGGTCTTGTCAGATACGGGCATGCACAGCAGGTTGACTTACTTATCCAGCTTTGTCATCGTCTCGCAGCGCACCCCTTGACCACACTCCCAATACGTTTGTCTTTCGGTGAAGTAAATCGTCCTGTGCGCGAGTGCTCGCTCCTGTAGGACCCATCCTCGTTTGCAAAGTTTTCCTTCTATCACATCGCCCTCGAAGTCGTCAATTTGCTGGCACACATGATAAATACCGCCGTTGTTTCGGTTGAAAGTGACGTATCTCCTGTCGGGTCGTGGTCCCAGAAAGCCATCATCTTGCCCAGTAGCGCGACTTGCCGCAATGACGCAGTACGCAAAGCTGAAAACGTCTTCCATGTGTTTGGACTCTTCTTTGAAGTCTCCGTCGGGCCCCTGTATAATGCAGATCGAGTCTATCCATAGATGCTGAAATCCAAGCTCTCTCGTTGTTGTGACGGCGTCTTTGAAAGTAGCAGGTAAATCCTTAAAGTCGATGCCCCTTTTGTGCTTCTCAATATTGCTCATGTAGGTACAGAAGTGTCGATGTTTCGCGGGATCTCCCCAGGGATGGGACAACGCCAGGTATCTTCCACGAGCACCTTTTGTTTCCCACAGACGAATCTGTGAACCAGAGACTTCAAGAAGCCGCGTGGGAAGGTTGACTTCAGTGGCTTGCAGACAGTCGCTATGGCCCAGACCATGATCGCAGCTTTGGAGCCACTGTCGTAGCACTTCGAAGTGCAACTGATGACCACCTGGTGCAAGTCTCGGGAAACCAGTCTGAAGTCCGATGCTGTCGTATTTGGTCGAACTTGGATCTGGCATCAACTGTAAGCTAATTCACTCGATCAAATAGACGAAACCAATGAAGCAAAGAGACTTTTCACGAACCTGGATCATGAATAATACTCAAGATGGGATTATTAATCCCAGAGATTTTTAGAGTAGACCCTTCTCTATGCAATTGGAAAGGGCCTGTTTTTTGGAAAGTCAAACAAGCTTCTAAAAGCAACTTGCAGAAACCACATGCGCCGGCTCTATTCTGTACATCCGAGACTGTATCTGACAAATAGAACCCGGTAGCCAGAATGTCTAGCATCTCACAATGTCGACAGAGATTTTGGTCTCGGGGAAGCGATAGGTGATTCGGAATCTTGATGGCTTTCGTGATGTACATTTTGGCGAAGCCATTGTCTCTACTAAAACGCCAGTGATCGCTGAGCTGAGAGCAGTTAACGAATAAGCCGAGAACCTCAGATAGGAAGAATCTAACTTACTGCCTTATTTCACCAGTCAAGTTAGCGGTTAGTGGTAGATCAGGGTTGAGGGAAGGGGCTTGGACATCGGGTTCAGGAATAACTTACGTGCTGCATCGAATCAAAGTGCATTAGTCAAACCATATTTGGTCTCAAAACGACATGACATTGAACACTCAATCAACTTACCTCCTTCAGGTTATTCACAACTGTCAGTGAAATGCGTCATGTCATACTTTCTAAACAAAGGAATCAGAGTACTCAACTCACATACTCAACATCTGAAGTCAGCTTCTACTGCCATCTCCAGGTATCACAATCAACTACTCACGTCATGCTGTTATGCAAGGGTTAGTGTTGCGAAGATGATGTTGATCACGAGTACCTACAGACTATGGAAGGTTTAGCTTGTGAAGTTTCAGTGGAAATATGTAAATGTTGATGTTGTACATACATGTTGTGCTTGTAGTGCACCGAGGAAAGGGGTATTTCCCCTAGGCTTTTCGGCCGCCCCAGGCGATAGCAAGTTGGTGATTTGCGATCTTGGTATGGTCAATGAAGGAGGACCATTGATATTTCGACGGTCCTGGGCTATGGAGAGATAGGTCTCGTTGTTATCCGCTTTTCGAAGGATGTTATCGAGTCCAGACCGCATAGCTCCTGCGTCAGCACGATAGGGGCCACTCTCGGGTGTGTTTTGGCTGGCACTGGTCACGGATATACGTCTGTCCGGTTGGTTCTCGATGAATGTCGTTGTCTGAGCTCCATTGAGAATCCTTGTCGGTGCTTGCATCAGTAATGGAACGACAAGCAATCGGCTCCTAACGAGGTTGAGTAGATCGCCAATCGCAGAATCTCTGCAGCACTGACGGTCATTAGCCATGGAGTCCATCCAAAGCACTACCACAGGATGGACTTCTGCGACGCGGGCTCCGTCGATCTCCCTGATCTTGAAGAAACTGCAATCATAGCCATCGTTGCTGAGACTGTCGTCGAACTTGTCTAATGCTTCGCAGCCATATAGCAGCCATATGATGCATTCTAGCATGATACAGCCCATGGACCAAATGTCGTAGAGCCTGGATCTTGCCTTGTCAAGACGATTGGTGACAACTTCGGGCGGTTCGTAGCGGACTGTCCCGTACTTTGCACTGGTCGCCTTTTTACGCACTGCCGTGTTATCGTTATGATGCTTTGCTAGGCCCATGTCCGCGATTTTGAGTATCCCGACAACTGTTTCGTTCCTGAAGCGGAGGATATTTTCCGGCTTCAAGTCTCCATGTCGGTAGTTGCCTTGATTCTTGTAGTTGTGCAAGGCATGCAAAGCATCGGCGAGCCCCAGGAGTTGTGTGACCGTTTCCTTCACTAGAACAGGTGTAAGAACAGGCCGGGTTTTCTCTTTCCAGAACTCCCTCAAATTCCCTCCGTCGGCCCACTGAAACATGAAGTATCGTCTTTCTCCCCGCGTGATAGCCGCAATACGTTGGATGATGTGCTTGTGTCGAAGGTCAGTGATCTCAGACAATGCCTTCCGCTCATCTTCGTAATTCTTCTCGATTTCGTCACGTCGATCGTTGTTGACAAGGATCTCTTTGATGGCGACGTGGGCCCGCTGGCCATCCACCTGAAAATTCTGTAAGCTTACTTTCACCTCATGAAGTTTGCATTCAAGTTGGTGTTCTTACTGTAAATTCTGGGTGTTCTTGGTGTTGAGGATGAATGTCTACTTCGTGCACCTGGCTAAACATTCCCCCTTTGACAATGTTGTTGACCCAGGTAAATGGAAAGACACAATCTGGGGAGAGATGGTGCTGGAATTTCGTTTTGGAGAAGACAGGGGCCAGAAAGCACCATTGTTTGTTGTAGAACCCTTCGATTTTGAATCCATTCCAAATCCTTCGAATGCCTCTATCTTGCATTCGGTCAAATGGGAATGGGAAGGTCCATGAGGAACAGCCCTGGACAGGCGTGCCTGGCTTCTTAATAGGTAGATCGCTATCTTTGAAACCATTCGTCTTGAAGAACTTAATCGTTGTTAGGAGCTCCGTTCCGCTAGTTCCGCAACAGACAACTATTGCAAAGACTTTCTTCGCTTTCTCATGAACGAAACGAATCAAAGCCTTTTCTGGGGTTGGCGGGGCTTCATCTTCGAATAGGTCGAATAGCTCACGGGAAATAGCATGTTCGGTTATAAGGTCCTCGATGCACCCTTCTGGTAAGAACGATGGTTCCCGTTCATCGAACTTGCTTTTCTCGAAGCGTTGGCAGAGTTTATCGCCGAGGGAGACCATAGGCTCCTCATTCACAGTGTTGTCACGAGACATTCTGCGACATAGGAATGAGAAGGTCAAAGCAACGAAATCGAAGATGAGCGAGGGTTGAGCTGAACCAGACAGGATGGGATGGGGATAGCAAGGGATATCAAGTCCCATGAAGCAAGTCGCCATTGTGATCCCATCCACCAATTAATAAGAAAGCTCTCATACGTGGGAGGTGTTGACGGGCATGGTCGCATTGGCGAAAGAGGTAAGCCAATGGTCTCACTGTCTTCTCGAAAACCCCTGGGCCATTGAGGCAGCTAAGCCATGGCTGCTGAGCAGCCATTAGAGCGTCAAACAGGCGACCTATCAAGCGACTGGCCGATGTCATAGAGGCAACCGTGCATTGCCAGCCTGCTGCTCTGAGAAGGAATATTGACGTGCTTCAAGGACATGCATTGCAGCCTGCAGCACATGGGCTAGTATGCTTCCACGAGCTGGGGGATGGATTCGATCTATTGGTTGATGTATCTGCGTGATGACCGCGCCACGTGCCTCATTTCGATGTTGGCGCCGAGTCCTGCAGCTTTTGCTGTGTAGACAGACTACAGGCGGGGAAGTCTGAGAGGATCGACACTCAGCCTGCCGGAGCCACCCCAAAAGTCCAATCTCTTCTATTGCGCTGATACCTCGAAGTCGACATCTTTGCCCCGCTCAATCAAGCACTTCGGTTGCGAGCTCTAAAGACGGTGCCCTGTTTCTGAGCAACCACCATGGCTGATTAAACATGGAGAAGGCTGAGGTTCGCGATGTAACATCATCATCTCTTCAGGCAGGCCACAGGTGCGGCACTATGAACATCCTCAGGGCCCAGAACCTCTCCTTATGCCCGATCGCTTCTGATGGGCCTTGACCCCGCCCTTGGCTCTACTCGAATGTCCGGCATGGTCTTCCAATTGACTCACTCTGAGAGGAGAGCGCAGAGGGAAATGAGAGTTCCAGCTTTGATCATCCAAAGGTCTCTGAGCCGGCTCTGAACAAAATCTTGAAGACGCAACACACATATCTCGCCACATAGACAGCCTTTGTAGGACCTCAATGCAGGTAATACGTCTGTCACCACTCCTCGGATCTTCCGACTCAATCACTAACATTCCGAACATAATCATATTCAAAAAATGGTGCAGGTACTCGCTACAGGCAGGGTGAGAATGCAGTCTGTCCACGAACTACCATTTGTCAAATGTTAGATCAAAATGGGGATCACAATGGCCAAAGGAATGACAACGACTTACACGGACCACAGCTGGCTTCACCGAGGCCGTTGACGAATCTTTTGCTTCTGAAGTATTGATTGTGAAGAAGGTATCCGAATCAATTCCTGATAACCATGGATCTGGCGAAAATCGTAGCTCGGCAAACTCAAGTAGCAAGTCTTTGCCGCCGAGCGACCAGGTAATGAACTCGAGAAACACACAACCAAGTGACCATATGTCGCACGACTGTCTGATGATACGCCGACGAAGGTCGCATTCAGGTGGTCTATATGTCGGAGAATTGGCCATCTGGCTTCCGTGCTGGTTCGACCGACTGAGTCGGCTATGTAACTCGGCTAGACCGAAGTCAGTGAGCCTCAAGATACCTTGGTCAATCGATTCCAATGTTTCGTGGAACCAGAGTATGTTCTCAGGCTTTATATCTCCGTGCCGGCCATAGCGTCGCTTAGAGCTTTCGTGGTCTCTGTTGAGAGCATCCAGTGGTGTTAATAAAAGACCAGTGGACTGGGACGCCTTTTCTTGCAAGTCGGAGTCGTATTGGTGAAGCCGTACTAGGCCATCCGCGATGCCTTGACATTGCTCTGCCATCCAAGATATTGCCCCGAAGCTTAAAATGGGCCGTGGATTCAGCTCTTTCCAGTACTTCATCAAATCGGCCTCAGCCCAAGGGAAGATCAGGTAGAAGTGTCCTGATTGCTCGTACGTTGCTAAGAGTGAGATCAAGTGAGGATGCGAGTCTCCGCTGAACTTTTTCAACACTTGGACTTCCTTTTGGAACAATTCCTTACTCGGCGAGTTGAGACATTTCACTGCGAAAGTGTTTGGCCGCACCTGTGGCTGTCAGACCAATATTTCTCCTTAGGTTCGTGGTGATTCTGGTTGCGAGGGCTCGAGGACTCACACTTGGTTCTGAAGCTGAATTGCTGAAGTCATGGTGGTCAGGGTGAATCTCGGCTTTGAAAACTCGACTGAAGCCACCCCCATGCATCTCAGCAGCTCCAATATCGTCGTGATTACTGGTCGAGGTGAATGGAAGAACAATATGAGGCGCAAGGACATAGTGTTTGACGTTCTTTCTTTTACCTTTGGTGAAGAATGGCGGCAGTATGGTCCATTGGTACTCCTCGAAGTTTCTGATGCTCACTCTAGTCCATGACAAGAATGTTTTCAATCGATAGTTGCGTCTTGCTTCGACTCGAAGTTCGAAAAGCCCGCCATTTTCGGCAGCTTTGACAAGGGGAAGATCTTGATCGCAGATGCCCTCATCTATAAAGCCTTGAATAGATGGCACCATATCAATCAACACTAGTATAGCAAAGACTTTTTGGTACGACTTGCTTGGTGGATTGGGATTTTCCTTTGCTGGATTGTGGTTATCACAAATCGTGCTTGCGAGTCGCTCATAAGAACTCCTTCGGACCCCGGGAACTTTCCTCTTGAGCTCTTGGATGACAGGTTGCTTGCGTATGAGACTGTTCAGTTGTCCTTTGGGTAGGAATTGTCTATGAGTCTGGGGGTTGGTCTTGAAAGACATGTATAGACGATCTTCGAAAGAATCGAGTAGAGGATCCTCTTGTGTTGGAGATACAGGAAGCAGTCCTTCTTTCACCGCTTTTGTATACATCTGATCTCCGCGGTCCATAACTTCGCTGGGTTCGAAGGGCACGGCCGGTGGAGGCAAAGCGGATTCCGGTGGCAGGCCATTACCAGTGATTGGGGCCAGAGCAGCGCCTGGAGTGGGACTAGGATCGTGACGATCAGGATAGTAGGGAATATCCTGAGGTCGCAGATGATTAGTGTATATTAAACCCGCAACGATCTCGAGATCATGTCTCACCAGGTCTGAAATCTCAGCTTTGATGATGGCAGGAACCATACGCCCATCTGGGATCCCAAGCCCGACCCCTTGCGTCAACTCTTCTATAGTGGCGGATGGAGTTTCATAGAGACATGGGATTTCCTGCTTTTGATGTGGTGTTCCCAAAATTGAGGGCGAAAAAAAGTCGGATTGAGTTCGGAGGCCATGCTGCGAAGAATTGGAGTCGATCGCGCTGTTGCATTTTACTCCATTATCAATGATGGCATTGAATGTGGTTCTAGGAATGGTTGGAGAAACAGAAGACGCTATTGTTGAAGACTTTGATGCTTTGAAATGACGAGACTTGTTCGAAGTTGCATCAAGTCCATTGCGGCTGATTTCCCGTAAGTCTGGACTTGATGATGCGGACCCGACGTTCTTTGTTGTGTCCATGTTGCTGTGTTGAAATGTGAGAGATGAAGGTGACACCTCTCAAATCATTGGGAATGTGAATGATAGTTTCAGGGCCTTGAAGATACGACCATTGGAGGGGCCAGAAGAGCTGGGGGCACTGTCTTATGTCTTGTCATATTGAGCAGCCCATCATGTGGGCTAGGTCTCGGAGGAGACGTCTTGTCTTGGAAATAACTTGACCGGATCTTCTAAAGCTGTCAGCTGAACCACCCTTCCCAGAGCCTTGCTGACCCGGTGAGATGGTGGCCCTGTGAGGTTGAAGTGGAAAAAGTAAAACAGGTCACTCCTTGGTCTAGCCTGATTTGTCTGCGCGGCAGTGAGCTGGCTGGTGTACCCTGGTTTCCACCAACCATTCACCACAATATTACCCAAGGCGCCTGTTATCTGTTTCAACCTCCCAAGGCAGATCGGGTCTGAGAAAGGACCGATCTCGCATTTTGGTCCTACACTTCACCAAACACCTCCGTAAGTCCAGTCAAAGGACTGCGGAACATGACGGAGCTGGTCTAGCACCAGTCCCCAAGGATGACATACTTCGACACCCCTATATCAAGCACGCAAGTCCCTGCCTTCTCGCTGAAAGCTGCTGGAAATTTCTGGCTACTTTCCGAACTTTCCTAATTCTCATTCAGTTACGCTTTGAGATCAGCTCCCATCAATATCTGTCTAAACACTTGCCATGGGTGATGTCTCAGCACCGATGGTAGTGTTGAATGCCCACGATGATTTCGACAATGCAGAGCCCCCATCCCAGGACATCTCTGCTAGAGGCATCAACCCCGCGAAACTGACCTCTTTACTGAGGGACAAGTTTGGAAGTGGCTCATACAATGTGCATGTAAGAGTGAACCTACCAGGCATAAGAGACTTCTTCCATAGCCAGCAACTGTTCACTAATAGACCTTCCTACACTTAGATGATGCACAATGTATACACAATTCGAGCCCCTAGACGCCTATCAGTGGTGAGTGATCTTGTGATTTCGGTTGCGTGCGCTCTTGGAATAAGTTGCTGATCTGAGGTTTTCAGACAGAAATAGCCCAATGTGCCTGAATGCTGGTTACAGCAAAGACCATGCCGCTCACTGGAACCCTTGTACACGTTGCGTCATTCAACCACGATTGATTTCTTTCCGAACACGTCATCTGCAAACCATTTCGAGGAGGACTATGATCATAAGTTTTCTCGGTCTCATATTAGATTCACTATCAGAATACATATTCGCATTTACTTCTTAGGACATGGCACGTGATTGGGATTGAGGAAGGGCAGGCTGGGTAACTGAAGCCCCTTTGTTTCTAAAACCTATCTTACTTCAACAGCAGGATAGAAACGAGCCTGTCGTAGCAGGAGACGGTCTCTGCATTCGCAGATTTTCGGTTTCCGCTGTAAAAGGCCGTGATTGCCTCGCCAACACTGCAGTCACGAGTTATGGTCGATGAGCTTTTTCAGTCGGGAGATAGGCTGTTGTACTGGTGGCATTCCTTTCCGCTCATTTGCCATAGTGTTTTAGTACATGTAGGAACTATATAATGGATACATGTACACCACGGGCCATACCTATCTCTGTTACGGCACCATAGCTGTTGCAGTGACTTGGACATTTCTCAGATTGTCAAGGTTTGGAATTTTAAACAAAAACTACTCGCCATCATTAATCTGGTGGTGACTATGCTTTCGCTTGGACGATCGTCTCGTGGAAGTATCACGTAGATACTTAGCATCATCTAGTGCAATCTTGAATTGTTAATTGCGTACCCAAAGCTTTTGATTTGCTTAAGGTCACCTGATTCTTTGATAGTGATAGTGAAATTGATCCTTAACTGACAACACCAAACCGGGCTTACACCAAGACTAATAGAATGAGATGGGGGCAGGAGAAGGCCGAGTTAGTACCTTGGGTTGACTACTTGGGTTGAAACCGCCTCTAGTTAGAGTACTCGGGATCTCATATCATCTACTGTATATTTTGTACCCTCATCTACTTCATGAATAATTCCGAAAGGAAGCAGCAAACTGACTGGGTGGTTAAGCAGGTCATGGTTACCAATCAGCACATCCACATCCTATTGAACGATAGGCTACGAGTATCCGTGTTCGACTTTCAGCATGAGCACCAGGAGATGAAATCCCATCCAGTGGCCAAGCTCCTTTTCCCCCTTTCATATGTCTATCAGACCTTGATCCATAGGTAGATACTTATCTTGACCTACTTACCTTAACTAAATGTCACACGGCATGAAGATAGCAAAGGTGGAGCATGGGGTAAAGTGGAGTCGGCGCTACTTTAATCGCAGATAAGGCCGCCACATACCTCTCCGATCATCTTCGACTCTCCGGTCGGTCCCCGAGTTGCGGTAGGTTTCCCACTCCTTCTTGATACGCATACACGACATGCTAGGAACTTCTACGTATATCATGCTGGTCAATAGAGCCTCACTCGAGCTTCCCAAATTTGACTGAAACTGTCATGTCCGCCCGACAAGATTTGAGTGGCATCGAGCCTGAAGGCCCACCCACTGCTGACTCTGCCGGCGGTCGGGTCTGGCAAGCTTGTCTTGCCTGCCGGCGCAAAAAGGTCTGTCTTTGGATGCTGCAACATGACTACGACTACGTAAGCATACATCTAAAACGACTCGAAAGCTGACGAGGTGATGAAGATCAAATGCGACGGTAAACAACCTTGTCACAATTGTAGCTCTCGTGAACAGTCATGCGAGTTTCCTGGAACGAAGGACAATGCTTCTGCCAGTCGTTAGTAAGTTAGGCCTGCCTTTGTTACTCGAACCTTTCTACTTGAATCAAGGTCTTACTGTGGAGCAGCTATGTGACATCTTTCGAAGCACGATGCCAACAGATGGACGCACTGTGTCAACGGCTGGAAGTGCTCACTGGGCAACTATCACAGTCTATCGGCGCCCTCAGCCAACAATCACCTGCGCCAGCGAACCACAATCAGCCTTCTGACAGTGTCTCAGCAGCTGAAATAATTAAGTCATTACCAGAACTTGCTGCATTGTTATCTCAAGCAACCGCATATCCTCGACAGGAATCCGGAGCGACTGCAAATCCAAATTCATACGCATGCGTTGCTGAATTGAATGTCAACACAGGCGTAATAGACGATGAATCCGAAACGAGTTCATCCAACAGCGAGGATGATAATGATGTTTTTACTCCAGGAGTCAGTACCTTCAGTTTGACAAAATCGGCCGCCGAGAATCTCGGCCAAGCAGGCGCCTTAGTACGAGATTCCTACGGCCGCCCACGGTATGTTACACTTGAAACTCTGATTCCCAATACAAAAGATTTAACCATCCATGGATCTAGTTTTGTGGGTGGTGCAGCGAATAATCTTATCGTTGAGGCCGCAAGAAACCTCCTGCCGAATTTGGCGACAGCCACGCCATCTTCTACAGGAGCCAGTCACGAAACGCTAAACCTACGAGACCTTGAGATACCTTCATTTGTTCGTGGAAAACTCTGGCCTCCTCTTCCGTACATACCTGCACCGGAAAGCCTGCCTCGCCCGCCGCAATATGTCTCTGACCTGCTTGTGAGCCTATACTTCGACAAGCTCCACTACATATTCCCTATTCTCATCAAGCCTCACTTTATGAATCGTTATCAGAAGCTTCTGAGAGCCGGGCCAGATTCTTCTTCACCTAAGAGAGGAAGGTTTCTTATGGTTTTCTTCGCCGTGTGTGCGTGTGCGTCAGGGCTATTACCGTCTAACTTGGAGAGCGGGCTACCCGGTATCGATTTTTACCAAAAGGCCCTTCTCATCTTGTCTGCATCAACGGGAGAGTCCTCCATTGAGAAAGTTCAGTGTCTTGGACTTTTGTCGATGTGCTCGGCTGGGTGGAATACTGTGTCTCAAAGTTGGAATTTAGCCGGACAAGCCGTGAGGGCGGCAATCGACATGGGGCTACACGTTAGTGGTCACTCCGTAAGACTTCCTTTCCGTTTGTTTATCGATAGCCTGCTGATCGAAAAGAACGCTGTCGTAAATCAGCAGTCACCTCTTCATATGAAATCTAAGGATTTTTCTCTTCGGGAGCAGTCTCGCAGAGTGTGGTGGTGTGTATACACGCTGGACAGGTACTGTAACTCCAGTATCATTACATCCTAGTAACGCCTGGTCCTTGGCTAATAACCCGTGGCTCTTTGCAGAACGACATCGATTTGCCTTGGCCGTCCTCTCGCGGTCAAAGATGAAGACTGCTACTGTGAGCTACCATTGGACGTACGCGATGAGGATGTAATGTCTGGGATCAAGAGCGGACACGCTGTCGACGTAGAAGCGACAACGAGCTCCATGAGCGGCTTCTTAGCGTTTGCTAAACTCTGCCGGCTTGCAGGCAAGATCCAAGAGTTCAGCTCTCCCCTGAACCTACAGAAGATCGCCTCTGCAGATGCAGAAAGAACTCATAGGTTCTTGGCTCGCGTTGATGCTCATGATCAGGCTCTTCGAAAGTGGCTCGAGAGTTTGCCCGGGGAAATCCAATTCTCAGCAAACAGAAAGAACAAGAGCCACGGGGATATATCCATGGTTCATTGTGTGATTACGTTTTTCCTACACGCAGGATCTCTTATTAACTTGTACCGGTAGGCTTAATGAGTTCCTGGTATGTGATCATGGAACGACATTGTTAATAGACTGCAGATACTTCCTGAACTATCCCAAAGACTCCGCAGAACGAGACGAAGTGGACGTCTCTGGAGCCATCGTTCAATGCATTAATGCTGCACGGGGCTGTATCTACGTCGCTGATATGGTTCGAGACTTGGTGCCAGCTTCACACCATCTGGCTATCTGCATCCACTATCTGACGCTGTCGGGTATCATCCTGTAAGTTGGCGCCTACTTGTGATAGCAATTTCTATCACATTGGCCGCAAATGCTCACAAGGCTTCAACTTCAGTCTTCGAGTGCCTATCGATCGCAGCAATCCAGCTTATTTGGAAGATGCCGAGAAGTGTGCCCGATCGCTCAAAGATCTAGAGCCTCGGTGGTCTGGGGCCAAGAGAAGCCGAGAAATCATTGAGAAATTGCTAGACCGACGCCGCAGTGAGATTGCTGAAGACTCGCTCACCTGTCGTGTTAATGAAGGCCGAAATTCACCCGAGAACGCCCGCAGGGCCGACAAAAGACCCTTTCCTGATGTTGAGGTCGCATCATCCTCTTTGGTTGACGTTGCTAGCGGAATCTGGAATCCCAGCACCACCGACTCCATGCCAGAGACGACGAATTACGATGGCTGTATGGATCCTATGCTTTTTGCTTCGTGGTCAGGATGAATCCACGATAGCTTGTATGGGTATGACTTGAAAGGACTGACCGAAGTAAGCTATGCCACAAGATTGCGCGATCTCGAGCGTGGAGGTTTGGCAGGGAGAGCAGTTCGCTAAGAAGAAGCAGAAGTAAGCACGAAAATCACGAACGTAAGCAATAGTGGGCCGTGCAGCACGGCGCGGCTTCACATGTATTCAGAAGGGCGCTGATTGGTGATATTACAAAGCCATTTCATCATTCTTCATCGTCTTGAATATTGTTATTACAAATATCTACTTGCGTTCTTCAGACATTTGATTCCACAGATACTTGCCAACCGTGATTTTCGACGCTTTAGCACGTCCGCGAGTTTTATCAGATCGTACAGAACACCTAGACGTCTCACGTCAATTCTCCAGCAATGGCCTCAACCCTCCCCCCAAACGGCCGCCTCGTCAATATCGGCACCCACTCTCTAGCTCTCTACGCCCACGGTCCAGAGCCCAACAGCCCCACCGATCCCGTTGTACTCTTTATCTCCGGTGTAGCCAGTGATGCCCTCAACTGGCAAGCTGTGATACGGCTTCTCGGCCCCTCTCAGGTGCGGAGCTACACGTATGACCGCTCCGGCAATCGCCACTCAGACCCCTCACCCAACCCACCAACAGCCGAGAACATTGCCCAAGAACTCGCCCTCTTGATCGAACACGCCCCCATACCTAACCCACTCGTTCTCGTGGGCCACTCTTGGGCTGGTGTGCTCACGCACGAGTATTTTGCCCTCAAAGGCACCAAGCAGGTCGCGGGTCTGGTCCTTGTGGATGCGAACCATGAGACGGCGCCGCTCGTGCTAGACGTCAACGATCCTATTCTCTGGACAAAGATCGCCGCAGGAGTCAAGACATACGACGGCTGGGGGTTGACGACGTCGCATAAACTCACGAAGGAAGAATGGGACGCTTTTATCGCGGAAGAGGCTACAGAGAAGCACAAACTAATTGCGCAGCGTGAGGATTCCGAGGGTTACTCGCAAAGTTTCGAAACGCTGAGGAGTAAGGGCCTGGCAAAGAGGCAGCCGCTTCTTGGGGACAAGCCAGTGTATGTGATTGTGGGCACGCGAAGCAGAGACTGGAGCGGGCTTTACGCTGCGGGTGTCGCGAAGGGGAACGGGACGGAGGAGGAGAGGAAGCATGTGAGAGATATGATTGAGGGCGTTGATGCGAAAACTGAGAAGCTCATGAGAGAGTTTCTGAAGCTCTCTAGAAAGAGTGATATTGTGTTTGCGAAGGAGAGTGGGCATTTTGTGCAGATGACACAGCCAGAGATTGTCGTTGATGGAGTGAGGTGGGTGCTGCATAACCAACCGGCGACTGAGTAAAGAGAGTACCTCTAGTTATCAATGATTCGACTACCTTGAATCCTTAACTGTAGCCAAACTTGCTCTGGTTTGAGAGTAACTTATTCTCTGAATCGTCGTTTCCCTGCTTTCCGTCGATCTTTTGTTCAACCTCGCTTCTTTGTTTCCCCATAGCCGCTACCAAGTCCTTCAACTTGGCCATTTCCTCTGACATCCAAGCTGTGATGGCGACGATATCGGCTCCGCAGTTTACGAAGTGAAACCCTTGCTCGTACTTCAATGCCGCAGCATCGGCACTAAGAGCAAAATGACCGACATATTTCCCAGCATCAAGCCCTGCTTTGAGCACGCGTGTTGACGCCTCCTGAACTTCTGGTATTGAGGCATGGTCAAATGCCACATAACCCATGGATGAAGCAAGATCGTTGGGTCCGATGAATAACATGTCGATGCCGTCAACAGTCGCGATTTCTTCCACGTTCTCTACGGCCTTTCGGCTCTCTATCTGTACGCAAACCATAACGTTGTCGTTGGCGGTAAGAAGGTACTCTCGGCCGGTTTGGTTGAAAGCTGCGGGGGCAAACATAGCTCCCGCGCCTCGAAGACCTTGTGGCCAGCGCGAGGAGGGATACTTGCAAGCGCGAACGATGGCTTCAGCTTGCTCCTGATTGATATGACATCAGTTCAAGGCGGTTTTTTGGCGGAATATGGCAAAGACTTGCCTTGGTCTCGCACATTGGAACCATGATGGCATGCGCTCCACAATCCAAAGCTCTCTTTATCATCCAATGTTCCGAAGCTGATATCCGCACGATTGGAGACGCCCCCGAAGATGAGATCGCACCGACTTGGAGATACATCTGGCTGTCATCGATGTTCCCGTGCTCCGTGTCTATGAGAACCCACTGTATTATAAGCTTCAGTCAGCATGAGAGGTCTGGTAGAGCCAGGCTGTTCACTCACATCCTCACCCAACGGCGCCACTGTCCTCGCCAGGGAGTAACCTGGAAACTCTAGCCATTGGCCAACACTGGGCCCTTGACGTCTCTTCGCGCGCTCTAATGATTCGCGTAGCCTTGTCTTTCCTGATGCATCCACGGTGGGGGACTGGATTTGGCTGGCCATTGTGTGGTCTCCTTCGCGCCTTGCTCGAAATCGGCGTTGTAAGACTTTGTGCGACTCTACTGCTTCATGCGACTCTACTGCTTCATGATAGACAAGATAGTTCAATAAACCTAAAGGGATACATACATGTAAGTTGATCTCTAATCATCATGTTTACAATCTTACAGCCGATCGTAGTCCCCTGGACCGATCATGATCAACGAGCCCATGTAAGCTCGGCCGGATCCCGGGCCGTGGTCTGCTCGTAATCGGAAGAGCTTTGCCTAGCAGATACCTAGCTCTGTACAACGCGGCCACTCTTATCGAAGAATGGCTGTTGTGACCAGGAATGTGGCCTGGGTCGTTATCTCCGGTATCGCGGCTACCGCACTAAGGTACCTTAGCTGGAGTTGCCCGGAAGAGATCCGGCCGAAATATCTTAAGATGGAACCAGGGGCTCAATGGACCAGTAGTCGACTTGATAAGACATGCAGACTGTAGAACCAAGATCAATTGGTCGCTCTTGAATACAGTCATGGATATAAACAATGACTCTCTCTCCGTAGTTGAGTGGACCCTTGAGTTGATCTCGAAGTGGGAATCTGAACAGGGTTGTTCACGAAACTTCACATCGGGCTATTCTTAGCCGCCGCACTTCGACCAACCTCCGTTACCAAGATGGCTTCCGCAGCCGATACCAAAAGGCTTCCTGAAGTCGACGAGACCAGTAAGCCAGACGACATTCTCGAAGGTACCATCGAAGATGCGACCGAATACTCCGACCGTTACTTCCGAAAACTTCGGTTCAAGATCGACCTATGGCTCCTCCCATTGATGTGGGTGTGCTATGGCACGCAGCAAGCGGACAAGACATCTCTCAGCGTCCAAGCTGTTTTCGGTCTGCGAGAAGATACCGGTCTCGTGGGCGAACAATTCAACTGGCTGAGCACAATTTTCTACCTCTCCTATCTCGTCTGCGAGTTCCCAGGAAACTGGTTGATACAGAAGAGTCATACCGGCAAGTTCCTGTCGGTTGTGATGGTACTGTGGGGTGTCGTTGTTCTGTGCATCGCCTTTGCTAAGAACTTTGCGCACCTCATGATCCTTCGAACGCTGCAGGGCGCTCTTGAGTGCACGATCTCTCCGACCTTCATGCTCATTACCGGAGCATGGTATACTTCTCAGGAGCACACCCTGAGGTCTCTGATTTGGGGCACATCCAACGCCGGAATGAACATCATCACCGGGCTTTGCATGTATGGAATCGGATTGCACGCTCAGAAAGACCCGGGTGGTTTGGCTGCAGTAAGTTAAGCCCAGATCCTGCTCACGATCGATCCTTGGCTAACGAACATTCTTAGTGGAAGGGAATTTCTTTATTCCTCGGCGGCCTGACCATCGCGTGTGGAATCCTCGTCTGGTTTATCCTCGGTACGCCCCGCGAAGTCCGATGGCTCAATGAAGAAGAGAAGAAAGCCGCGATGGCCCGCGTCATCGTCAACCAGACAGGTTCTGATCGTCAAAAGAGATCCGAGTTCAAATGGGACCAAGTGTGGTTGACATTCAGGGGTAAGAATTGCCTGCAAATACCTTCAACGACGAGCGAAACCTGACACTTGCGTTTGCAGATCCTCAAACGTACTTCTTCTTCTTCGTTACCATTATCAATGCCTTACCGAACGGAGCGAACACGACCTTTTCGAAACTGATCTGGAAGTCATTTGGGTTCACCCCGCTGGAGACGTTGCTGAAGGGCTCCACTCCTTACTACTGCGTGAGCATTGTCTGGTTTCTAGTAGTTGGATTCGTCACGTTGAAGAAGCCAAATCTCAGATGTAAGTTTGTCAAAACGAGAATTTGAATCCTGCACCAACTGACCACTGGACTCTTTAGTCTTGATGATGATGTTTTCTCTCGTACCAGCTTTCAGTGGCATGATGGCTCTGGCATTTCTTCCCACGGATTCTATGAAATGGACAAGATGGGGAATGTACATCCTGCAGGTCTTTGGTTCCTTGCCAGGTCTCAGTAAGTTTTCCTGCTGTTCACTAATATCGTGTCTATCCCTCGTCAATGCCGAGTACTAACATGATCTAGTGATCTGGACCTTCTTGCCCTCAAACGTTGCGGGGAGGACGAAGAAGACTGTTACATCTACAGTCCTGTTCGTCGCCTATTGTGTTGGTAACGCGGTGGGCGCCCAAATGTTTGTGGCGTCTGACGCTCCAAAGTACATTCGTGGTCTCACTGCTTGTGCTGTTCTCTACTGCGTTGAGTTCTGCAGCATGGCTACCTGGCGTTTCTATTGTAAGTGTCTGTCCGATGCTGCTGTCAATCGGTTCGAAACTGAAAGCTGACTTTTATTCAAGACATCTGGGAGAACAAGAGGCGGGACAGGCTTGTTCGCGAGCAAGGGATTTCCAAAGGGGAGAGTGAGCGTCTTGGAAAGTTGAATGCCGAGGCAGATATGACGGACAGAGAGAACATTCACTTCAGATACAAGTATTAGCCAGCCTTGTCAAGTATCAAGCAGCCTTGGGATCTATGGCTTGCTCCATGACGCGATTTTGATAGGGTAATTTCAGTATACGATCGATTTATAGAAAGTTATGGTTCAGACGGGGTTGAGCCAGTTGTACGGTCAATGCAAGATTTGGTTTCCTCGCTTTCTTCTCCGCGCAAGTTCACGCGGACCTTCCTCGCAGTGTCTTCCATCTCACCCATGGTGGTGGTGCGACTTAAAACACCACCAACATCACGCCCATGCCTAATGGCGGCCAAGGAGCTGCTCTTCCACAATGGTACGTTGCCTCGACTATTGGAGTTACCGAGTGTTGTGAACAGAAACGCGATCGCCGAGATAAGCATCACGCCATGGAGAGCAATCCACGGCCACTCGATGTGGTACAGTACTGTGGACTTGCCCACCTTGCCGTAGTAACTCAAGGAACCGTCCTGAAAACGATCTGTATCTTGGCCACTTTTCAGACTCTGACCCGGCGCATAGTTCCTCCGCATCTCGTTGGTCATGCTTGTTGCTAGGGTGTAAAATGTGCTGGTGATATTGTGCCTGGTCCAAGTCCAGAGACCGTCCAACGCCGGCGGCGTAGCCTTCATCGACCACTTTTCCGCTTCAAACGGCCCGAACGACGCGCCATTGAAGCCAACTGCATCAGATCCCAGTACCTTCTCGATCTCCTCTCTCTGATCCGGAGTGCCTGAAAGATTGGTGCGGAACAAGTCCTGCATGTGCGCGCTCATCGACTTGACAGAGTCTTGGGATATTCGGTAGTAGCCCTCGTTACTGATGTTGGGGAATTCAAGCCTCAGGTCGGTATTGTAAACAGCAGACCAATATTTGTCAAACTCCAGCGTGCCATTTGCTTCTTTGGAAATGATATTTTCTGGTTGGCCGTCCTCGTACTCTGAGGAGCGTTTCCACGAATCCGGATCTCGTCTCGAATCTAGCGCTTCGGTGACGTTCTCCTTGACTTGGTTGCCTTCAACCGCTGAATCGATCCGCTTGACACAGTAGTAGAGCGCGCACTCGGTAGCTTGCATCGGTATGTCTGGCCAAAGTTTGAGTCCGGTCGTAGAGCCCCTGTCCGACTCGCCGGGAGTGAAGCCGGTCGACTTATTGAGCGCCTCCATATCTGGGTGAATGATACTCATTGACCACAAGAGCGTATCCACATCCTTCATGGAGTTGGTTTTGCTAGGGATTCCGGTTCCGAACGATGTGGTCGTGTACTTGTCATCCGAGTAGACGCCCAATGGCTGTTTATTTTCGCATTCTGCGTAACGCCCGTTGTATGGTGGGCAGCCATCGATGTTGGCAATGAAGTGACCGTTTGGAAGGACGAATGCTGTTCCGGGGACTTCATAGCCAGCTAATGTGGTGTTTGCCAACGCAATGATTGCCTGTCCGAACCCCCCGACCTGCTTGAGCTCTGATGTGAGGTCGTTGCATTTGTGGCAGATCCCTAGACTCTTGAATTGGTCCCAGGTGCAGTTGCTCGTAGGGCACTGGATCAATGCCTCCTGTTCTACTTCCCAGCGTGATTTGGATAGCCCATTCAAGATTGCGCCTTGCATGGATAGCGGCGTGTCCGTTGAAACCCAGTACTGCGTCGTGGTAGAGTTTTGCCTCGATAATTCTGTGACCTGTGCTGTGCCCATGGAGTAGGTCTGGGTGCCGGAGTTTAGCGCAAGCGGTCCCTTGTCCGTCTGAGTGCTTCGCGTATAGACAACGCCCTCTCGAACTTGGATAACCTGCTGGGCGAGGGGATCGAGAGCGACGGCAAGCAGCGTCAGGATAGCACCAAGTTGAACGGCGTGACTAGTGCCAAAGTCGTCAGTGGTCGTCTTATGAGACGTTCAAACATGGTGGAGGGGGTAAACTCACGCGCCTCGCGTTCGAAAAATGATCCGCAAGCTTCCAAGAGGGCCGCGGGTGGCGGCGTCGATACGGTCGAAGTCCATGAGCGGCCGGTCTTCGCGGGTGAAGAGGATCCATTTCCACTGCGCTAGACATTCTGAGAGGACGAATGCGACAGCGGCCTTCATCGTTACCGACAAGATCGATACTACTGTGTTGAGTGTCACTCCATTCCATGTGAAGATTGGCTTTCCGTCAAAGCGGGCAAGGAGGACCACCATTGCGGTGAAGGAGATGATGCCGCCGACGAGGGCCCAGTATTCTGGACCCCAGGCCGACCATCGTAGTGAATGAAGCATCACAGGTGTGAGTTGCTCTTGCGACTTAAGTTCTGAATGACGCGAAATGAAAATTGAAGTTTCAAATGTGCGATGGCAGAACTACATATTGTCTATCGGACCCAGGGACGCCGGGCAGCTGAGATTGCCAGTTCCCAGCGGCAAAACCCCTGACTACATGAGGCAACTGCGCGTCTGGAGTGAGATCGCTCTCACTTCAGGTGGTGTCGGGTTGGGATAAAAGTAAGCATTAGGATCCGAACCCATGTCCGTCAGCCCTAATACGACGAGCTAAATTCTTGATTACACCCTGAAGGCACAGTAATAGCTCACTCAAGACGCTATTCCTAGCCTAGCATGCGCATGGGAAGCAAAATCACTGGCCTTCAGGCATCAGCCACAATCTCGCATCGCTAGCGAACAAACGTGTGACACCTTGCGCCTCAAGCATTAATCCGAACGAGCTTGCAGCGGACCGTAGGCATGTCTTCAGATTAATGTGACTGGCTGCCTCGGATTCTAGAGCACTTCACTTGCCAGCAAAGATATTCCCCAGCTTCACCAGTTCGCTCCATCGCTCATCAGGCTGAACTTCGATCGTGGCCTCCGGAGTCAAGACCTTCATCTCCTCAACACTCTTCGTCCCGTACTCGTAGCCCTCAGTGTTGTTCACAAAGTTGACCAAGATTTGAATCCAGCCTTGCATCAATTGCCTTTCGGTGGGGGTCGGACCATGGGTGATTGAAAAGCTACGTTGCGTCAATATGTCAGTAAGAGCGCCTAGCCTATAGATGCCGTGTCCAAATAGGAAAAGAGAGAGAACCAAACTCACTTCCAGATGGGCCTGTCCATGGCATGCGCCACCCCGAAGGAAGCGGGAGCTACCTTCTCGTTGATGAAGGACAGCCTGTAGGCGATCTGGTATCGCCACACGTCTCGAATATCGACGCCGTTGTCAACTAGCGCTTTCGCAAGTGCCCTGGACGGTGCCCGCACTTGTCCGTCCGAAACGATTGATCCTGTGGCATGTAGTCAGTGATACTGACACCAAAAATTGCATAGAGGCTTCTTACCGAATGTTGTTTGCCAGTCTCGCAACTTGTCTGATTCTGGCAGCTTGTACTGTTGGATCGCGCGATCTGTAACGTCTGGAGCGTAGTAGTTTGAGACCTGTAAGCGCAGGGCTTCCAGCGTGGGCTCAGTGGGTGCGTTATATGAAGAGTAAAGAGTTTCTTCGTTGCGAACCTCGCCGATGAGTAATTTGTACCCTCTTCGCTTGAACTCATCTGCGAAGTCCTTGCCCTGGAGGTACTCAATCATACCCGTGTGTATGAAGACATCATCGGTGACGGGCCGGAAGGTGTGGTTTTTCAGTTGGGGAATAGCCTCCAAAAGCTCTTCCACAGTCTTTCCCCGAAGAATAGAGAGCTTCTCCGCTCCTGACACTGAGGCGTCAATCCTAAAGTAGTCGCAAAGCTCGTCGAATTGGCCTTGGACATCGGCAAGAGATTTTGGCTGGGCCGGAATCGCGTTTGAGTCCATGAAGATGCGTTGATATAGTGAAGAGACACTTCCCGTCTTCCGGAAGTCGTAGAGCATCTGAGCTTCGGCGCTGTATGCCCCAGCACTCCGGCCGGCAAGCGTCACGTTCCCCGGATCTCCTCCGAAATGAGCAATGTTGTCTCTCACCCACTCCGCGGCCACTCGTTGGTCCCAAAGACCGAAGTTACCGCCCGCTTCACCGATGCTCTCTTGCAAAAGGTCGTTTCCAGCAAGGAACCCAAACACGTTGAGTCGATACCCGATAGCGACGACAATGGCGTTGAGGCCACCCGTAGTAATCAGCTCTGTTGCATCCATACCCGGCTCCTGCGACGGATCACCCATCTGGAACCACCCGCCGTGAATCCAAAGCTGCACCGGCCATTTCTTGTTTTCTTCGCCTTCTTTGGGAACCGGGGTCCAGATGTTGACAAACAAGCAATCTTCGCCATAGGTGTTTCCACCACCGTCAGGCTTGACTACATGGAACGCCTTCTGAGGGCATACGGACTTGAACTTGGTTGCGTCGTATGCTCCTCCATTATCGTCGGTGTATGAGTATGATGCGGGTAATGGTCGCGGCTTGCGCCATCGGTGCTCGCCAGTCGGTGGCAGTGCGTAGGGAACACCAGTGAAGCGCCTGGACTTATTGTCGAACTGGAGGCCGCGGATCGTTCCCCGGTCGCCCAATCCGAGCTCGATTGGCGTTTCTTGGTATGAGATGGTGTTGCCCATGGTGAGATGATTTTATTACAACTATGATGAGTGCAATGGGTATGGGTAAACATCAAACATTCTCATCTGATGACTGACTGATGAATATGCCATCAACAGCTCCTGCTACGGTTTCGGCGACAGAACTGGGCTCCGGCGGGTCTCCGAGGTCCGTTCCGACATGGGGCCGATAACGCTTGATTCCCTCCCCGCGGGCAGCCAACTGATAAGATATCGTCTCCAGCTTCGGCCGGATCTCCGTCCGATGGGCCGACTCGATATGTCAAGTGGAATGATTGAGTAGTGCCCACGTATGTAAATACTCTGGGGACATTAGCCTAGATACGATGTCACAAGCTTCGGCAAGTAGCTCAAGGGTTTTCATGCTTTTGACGACGAATGAGTAAACTTATATCTACTATTGATTTTGTTTTCACTTGAGCTTGCATTTGCAAAACTGTCTCCAACTAAGTATTCAACTTAACACGAAGAGAGACGACAAAATGGGGAGCCTTGGCCACAGCTCTACTATGGTGGATCTTTCCCATCATATCAATGCCAAGAGCAGAGCCCGTCATCCCTCACCGTTGAAAGACATCATCAAATTCATGGGATATGATGGCATGGTGAGCTTTGCCGGAGGTGAAACGCGAAGCTCCCGATATTTGGGATGAGATGAAATTAACAATAGTAGGATTACCTCATCCGTCCCTCTTTCCGCTTGACCAAGCCAAGTTCAATTGTTTGCTCCCCGAAGCTCCACTTTCAGCCAACCGGCATTCTCTCGAACAAGACAAAAGAGATAGGCTGAGTTTGGAATTCGGACGTGGTTTGTCTGCAGGAGATCTAGACTTGACCCAGTTTCTTCAATATGGTATGTATTCCCGCTTTGGTAACCTTCAGCCGTACTTTTACTTTCGAACAGCGATGTTGACAATTTGCCCGTAGGTTCTGGTGCCGGCAATCGGCAGCTGATAGCCCTCGCAAAAGAGCTAACAGAAAGAGTACATTCGCCCCCTTGCGAGTACGAGTGCCTACTACACCCCGGTAACACCAATGCATGGGCAAAGGTAGTTGGATTACTCTGCGAGGATGACGACTATGTCATAGTCGAAGAGTTTACGTACCCTTCCGCTCAGGCTCTCTGGATCCCATTAGGTATCAAAGCTGTTCCAGTCACTGCTGATGCGGCAGGAATCATGGCGAAGAATCTTAGACATCTTTTGTCGAGATGGGATGAGCGGGAAAGAGGGTCGCGAAGACCAAGAGTGTAAGTGCACCTGCAGACCTCAGCGCTATGGGTCCAGTAGATGATTAACGAGTAACAGACTCTACCTTGTTTCTGTCGGATCAAATCCGACAGGAATCACTATCTCAGCACAAAGACGAAGAGAAATCTACGACATCTGCGTTGAGTTTGGTACGCTCGAACTACTCAGGTTCACCTGCGGAGAAGTTGCTGATAGATAGTAGACATTATCATCGTCGAAGATGATCCTTATTACTTCCTCCAATACCCAGGCTACGGATCGCCTATAGAAACATCATTCACGCCCAAGCCCATCCCAGAATTCCTCAACACCCTCGTGCCCACGTTCCTTTCCATGGACGCCCAAGGCAGAGTCATCCGTCTCGATTCCTTCTCGAAGACCCTGTTCCCCGGACTCCGTCTAGGATACTTCGTCGCCAACCCGGTCTTCACCGAACGTCTCCTCCGCGCAACTGAAGTCGAGACACAGGACCCAGCGGGATTGAGTCAAGCCTTCGTTCTTGGTCTCCTTCAAAAATGGGGCATCGACGGTTATCTCACTTGGTTGCAAAACCTACAGTTCCAGTACCGCACCAGGCGAGACTGGCTCTTGGATGCGTTCAGTGCCCACTTTGACCTTCTGCCTGCGGAGAAGTCGCCTATACCTGAAGCGCAGGGTTTTGTAGTGTGCGTCAAGAACTCCCATGGCGGCAAGGTGAAACCCATCTTCAGCTTCGTCGATCCCGGAGCTGGCATGTTCGTCTGGTGTAAGTTCTACTTTGACGGCATCGACCGCTTCATGGAAATTGAGAAAGCCGGGAAGAGCAAAGATCCAGAGCAGGACTTTGCCAATGAGCTGTGGCAGGCGTGGGCGACGGAACTCGTTCTTCTCACTCCGGGATCGTACTATCATGCCTGGCAGGGGCCTGACAAGATGAGTACTGCCGCTCGAGGTGTTGATCCACGTACGGCGCATTTCCGGTTCTCTTTCGCGACGCCGACAGTAAGTCGATTGATTCTAGCGCCCTTAGGATATTGGAGATCCCTAACTTGGCCCATCACAGAAAGAAGAAATCAGCACCGGGGTCGTACGTCTTGCAAAAGTGATAGCGAGGTATTGGGGATAGAGGGGCTCAGCAGCCACGTCTAGTCAGGCGATGAATGCTATTGCTCAGGTTTTAGACGATTCGAACTCAAGCTAGCTATAATCCACCTTCTACGCGACTTGCAACAAGTGATAGAGTTTTACCAGTACATTCTCCCTTCTCTACATGTAAGTATGGGTATCAAAGCTTTTAAACAGCAATCGAGGGCCCGGGCTTGTTCTTGGACCCGTCATCTTGGAGATGTACCGATCTTCCTTCGATGGGCCCATCAACTCCCTTAGGTCTTTCAAAAGGCGCCATGCCCTTGCTGATCGCGACATCATCCTCGAATGTGCCATAGAGATCAAAGTCATCCTGGCATCCAAGCCTCTGTGGCTTGAAGACAAAGGTCAGGAGAGCGTAGAGCGCTCCAGCCTCCAGAAAACCGAAAATGTAGTTGCCAAGGTAATACTTGTAAAGTCCATCGTTGATCTTGACGTTGGGGTTGACCGCGGCAATCATACCCGGCATGGCGGGGACGAAGCAGACGACCCAAGCGACAAAGGCTCTCCAGTTGAAACCGTAAGTGTACCAGTAGGCTCCCTCCTTGGACCCAGTGTACAACTGGCTGATTTCAATCTTCTGCCGGCGGACGACAAAGTAGTCGGTCATCATGATGCCAGTCAAGGGGCCCATAAAGACGGAGAAACTAGCCGCCACAGACACAAACGTGCTAGCAGTGTTGTAAAACTCCCACGGCTGAACAGCCCACGATAGAGCCGCGGCCAGAAGCGCGCCACGCTTGATAGTGATCCAGGTAGGGAGCAAACCCGCGAGATCCATACCGGCAGCATATCCATTGCCGAGAATATTCTCCGCAATCTGGCCGAGAACGAAGCCCAAACTGCAAAAGAAGGCACCAGCGCGGGCCTTGGAACTGTAGTCGTCCATCATCCACTGCGTGATGACGGTCAACGGGTTCCACATGGGCTCTTCGAGCTCCCAAATCTCCATGGAGGCCGAGGCAGTAAGGATGGCGAAAATGGGCACGATCATGCCCGGGATGAAGAGCGAGAAGATGATACCAGGGACCTGGATGCCTTGCTTGCGGGCAAAACGCGTGAAGTCGGACTGGTTGAGAATACCGGCCGAGATGTTGCCGACTGAGGCGATGATGCCGTAGACCCAGGCCCATTCCTTTGTGAGGAGGGAGGGCTGCTTGGCGCCAGACTCGAAGAGAGGGCCTGTGCCGCCGGTAGTGCAGGCCCAGATCGTGATGCCCATCATTGTGACGAAGACAATGAGGTTGGCCGTGATGACGGGAATCTTCGCTTTCTCAATCCTGATGAGCTACAAAAAGAACATTAGTAAGAGGCCTCAGAAGCTCGAGCGAGGCTTTCTCACCAGGAATGGAACCGAGATCAAGTGGAAGATGACGAATCCCACAAGGTCTCTGGTGACCATGTGCGCGCTCTCTGGGAGCGTGTTCTCCATCATCAAAAAGTTGTAGCTCCAACTGCTAAGCATAGCAGATACGCAGAGACCACCCAGCCAGGCTTGAGAGCCGTACCAGACGATGGATAGCATAATTCGGATCAATTGGCCGATGTAGGCACCGTTCATGCCCAGAATGATTCTGCAGGATTCAAGTTAATTTCACGTGCCGTTTTGCACAGAAAAAGAAAGAATGACAATTTGCTGCGCTTACCTTTGAGACACAGTAAACCCAATGTGCCATTCAGAGCCCATCCATCCGTTACCGATGACGAGCAGACAAATCAGAGCTCTAGCCAGGATCATTAGACCGATGGTCTGCGGGATGGTGAGACCCAGCGACAGCAGGGAAGCCGCGCCTGTCCATGCCGAAATGCAAAGACTGTAAACAATGATTAGCACATCTGGACATAAATGCAGTGAACTAAACTAATGCAGCTTCTACCAGACTTACTTGGAGATGGATCCGAAACCCAGGAATGCCCACATTCCCCACGTTCTTCTGTTGGGAGGCAGAGGAGCGATATCAGGATTGATCCATTTCGTCGTCTCGTATCCGTGCTCATGGTCATCTTGCACCCGAAATCTCTCGAGTAGTCTTTTCGCCATCGTGGCTGACGTAGTCGACGGCGGGTCTTGGGTTGAAAGAGGATCCCCACTCGGCTTCTACACACGATGAGAGTCTGTAATAGATCTCCTGTACAGACAACAATCGACGGTGTCTCAAGAGTTCGTTGAGGAACTCGGACGGAAAATTGAAGATCGAGAACTGTCCCGGTAGCTGGTGCAAATTTTCCAACTCTGCTGAATACTTCGGTCTAAAAGAGCAGATGTGGCTCTTATGTCGGCAATAAAAACACCGCATCCCCCCACACGGAATAGTCCACCCTCCATCCCAGCGGCTTATCAGATTGATCAAGTGGTGCGAGTCCATCTGCAGCTCGACCTTATCAGATTCATAGATCCCTGAAGACCACCCCCAGGGATCTGCAAGAGACTTTTCATTCTTTCCACCCGCTGTCACCAAACGTGAAGCCGATTGTCTCCGAGGTCACATTGGACCCCGCACCTGATCCGTCCATTTTTTGAGGAGGCACTGGAAGAGTAGTAGCTTGAGTTTTGAGATGGAAATGAGGCTACTTGAGGAAAAGACGACCGATGGTAGAAACAAGCTGGCCGATCAGATATCCGCTCTTGGCGCTGGCTAAGAAAGGCTTTAGAGACATATGCGGGAATGCCAAGTGTGCTAACAGCATTGAACGATGATTGGTTCATCCACCATGCCCAAGGCTTCGAATCTGCGGTTGACGTTCTCGACATGCTTTATCAAGATAGCCTGTCATGATAGCAAAGATAGCCAAAGCCTGCGCCGCAACGTGGTCGCCAGGTTCAGAGCTTATGAATCCGAGACAGTGGGTGAACCGTGAAGGACTAGACCGCGTGGGACCCGATCCACGAACAACTGGATGCGCTTGCAGTGAAGCCTATTTCAACGTCAACATGTCCCCTTGGGAGACAATTCTACGAGCTAAGCTAATGCACCCGTTTTGTTTCATATAATCATGCTTATGAGGTGGAGAGAGAGAGAAAGGCCCGGCTCATGATGAAATGCCGCCCGTCGTGCCGCCGCCGCCACAACCCGAACCCTGGGTGAGTTGTTTAATTACCTCACCCACACGCCGGCTGACCTCCCAGTTGATGGATATCGAATCAGATCGGCAAACACTCCCCCGGAAACTCTTGCGCTAAAATCATCCAATTCCACTCCCTCCCTTGATCCCTCGCCTTCCAAACCCGTTCCTCGACAAACATCCTCGTCCGCTCAACCGTAACCGTCTTGCGGTGCGTGCCAATCGAGTCAAAGACGTCGAGCACGGCAGCCCGGTCGTCCGCGTCCAGCATCTCGCAAGCAGCCATGAAGACGGGCCACAGCAGCATCTTGGACTCGGAGGGCGGCCCGCTCGTGTACAGCATCACGTCGTGGGCCTTGCTCAACGCCTCGCCATCCGCGTCCGCTGCGGACCCGGGGAGGCAGAAGAGCCGGTGCAGGTAGAGGAGGGCGCCCGCGCGGTAGCAGGCAGCCTGAGCGCGGAATTTGCGCGCTGAGCGGAAGGAGAGACTGTCTGAGATTGTGGGCTTCCAGGACTCGAGGCGCAGGCGAAGGGAGTCGGCGCGAAGGGCGAGGTTGGAGTAGCCGGCGTCGAGCCAGCTGTCGACGCAGATGGGCGGAGACGATGAACCCCTTTCCTCTGTGCTTGTCGGCGATGTTGCGCTGCCACCGCCCAAGAGGGTATTTGGGAAAGCAGGCTGAAGGATCTGGTCGCGGACCTCTTCGGCTAAAGTGCAGAGCTCTTCTAGCAACGGCATGAGGGTAACGGTATACCCGAGAAGACGGTCTGGCTTGGCCGCTTCATTTTCTAGCCAGACGTAGCTGGGAACTCTGGGACGGCGGAGCTGAATCAAAGAGACGACGAGGTCTTGTCTCGCCAGTGCTCGGAGGTAGTATCTAGCCACGGAAGATACGTCGCCTCCCGTAGAAACGTGGTGGCTGATAAGAGAGGCCACGTTTGATAGGACTGTGGGTATGGTTGCATGGTGTCCTGGTTGTGCCAAAGTGACGAGCTAGACCCTGTGAGCAATTCGATTCGGGTCACTGGGGTGTAGTGGCCCATCCATCCATCTAATGCAAGGTCCACGGGGTTTATGTTCCAGTCTCGAGCAGAAGTGATGGAAACCGACCCACGCAGGAGAAAGAGGGGGCAAAGGGAAACATGAACTCACTTCCATTGCGCACAATCCGAGAAGCAGAAAGAGCGCCTCTTCAAAGTAGTGGCTTGAGGGCTTCATATTCCTCAAGTTTGCGAGGATCTTTGCCCTCCGGTTCAATACAGGCAGCAGCGCCGCGGAAGAGCTGCCGACGTCATATGAGTAGCCAATGGCCGAAATCGTGTCAGCAATCACCACCGGGTCCTGCTGCAGCATCATCACGATGTTGGCGTTCATCTCGCACACGAACTCGTGACCTATCAACAGCTCAAAGGGGTGTCTGTTGAAGTAGACTTCTAGATACGGCTGGTCTGCGACAGGCACCGACCCCGGAGGAAGCAGAGAGAAAGTGCGTGTATCTAGAGCCAGTGTCTGCCGATTTGAAGTTGGCGGTGATCTTTGTGCCGCCAGCGTCGTTGAGCTGCTGCTTGAAGACCCGGCGGAGACGGCTACGGAGAGGAGGTCCGGAGAGCTTGATACAGATCCCGGTACTGAATCCTTTGCTGCCGCGGCGGCGGTATTACTGGCACCAGCACCGGCCGCCAGCAGAGACGAGGGTGAGTGCCTGGCATGCTGTGCAGCGCCGGGTTGCGTCTTATATCCCTGGCACACGAGCCTACGTCGAGCGCAAGTCCCGCATGAGGGGCGTATTTCATCGCACTTGACTTTTGCCTTGCGGCAGTCGATGCAGCCGTTGCGCGAGCGTCGCGTGGGAGGGACCAAGGGCGGCATCTGAACTGGATCGGATCGTCGCGGCTAACTCAACTCCAGTGTGCAGAGAGTAACCAGGGTAGCAGCTGCAGTAACAAAAAGCAAGGCCGTGTGAGAAAGATACAGATAAGAGAGGTGAGGACTGAAGAGAGACTGTAAGATAGAGAGGGTCCTGGATTGTGCCTTACATCCGTTGACGGGCGTCTTGCTGTCGCTCGGATTCGGGATAGAGTTGTGGCTGGCGAGAACCAACGTTCGTTATCACGTTTCCGCCCGCCCCTCCTCCAAGCGAGCGAGCGATTTTCTGCAGTTCTGCAGCAATTTTTTCGCCAAATTTGGGGGGCCCTAGTAGGCTGCTGGCTGCTCAACAGAGAAGACAAGGGTGTAGTTGTAACATGAATGGATGGGCGGCAGGATGCTGCGTGAGTGTGGTGAGCAATAAGTTTTTATCTTATCAGATCATCTCCATCTAGACGATCCAGCCCAACCCCCGCGAGCTGCAGGGATTTCCCGATATTAGTGAGGGGTGAGGATGGTGAGGAGAGCCACTTGCGGCGGTACATCGGAGCTTGCGATCAATTTTGATCGGGTGTACTGTGCATGGAGTAGTAACTGTGGTTCGTCTGGTGTTTTCATGTAATTTTTCAGAGGAGGTCCACTGGAAGATCGATCCATCACGGCCTCGGCATATGTACGTCTGATCACACAAGCCATTCAATGAGCCTGCTGAGATCACTTGCTACAGTTACTTACTTAGGACGGCCAACGACCGACGAGAGAATTCCAAGGTATGGTATGGTCGTTGTAGAAAATTCTGATCATTATCGAACTCTCTTTACATTGGAAAGCCGGATAATTGTTGTCGTCGGCATGTGTCCGCCTTTGAGGGTCGCCATTGTCAACACCCTGGAAATTCTTACGTACAAATGCGCCGTCAACCCAGCGAGTCATTTATTTCAAGCACCACAAACACATTACCCAAAATCTTCAAGAATCTTCAGTGGGCTCTCATTATTTCATCATCGGTAGTGAGCCAGATGACCTTGAGCCCTTTAGCTAGGAGAGATGACTCTGTGAGATCCTACCTAGAGTACCTTCCTGTGAGATCGTACCTCATTATGCTATGACGTCTGAAGCCTTCGCCAAGGCCTCTCTCAGTGAATAAGGTGCTTGGGATCATTTCATTCATTCGAATACTCCAATCGGGTGAAATTTGAGAATTGATGTGAACGTTACCTATTCTTCCAATAGTGATTAGGTTATACACCAGTCGCGGCAATCCAGAGACAGCTGCTGTCTCACCAGGCAGGTCACTCGCTAGATCTATCTGCTGTAAATTGCCGATGTTCAGGGTCCACGCTGCTCACTCAATCGAGCGGGGAAACAGGCGAGCCGGTCCTCACCGGCGCTGGTGTGAACGAACCTCAAGCATCACCACGGCTGCATCCGGTTTCAATCCGCGGAGTCGCAGCACAATGCCCCATTTTCCTGTTTTTCGGGGGACTTTTGCCCATTAGCCTTCTCGAGCCGCCTTGAAACGGTGTGCGCTCTTCATGCTTGATACCCCGCGGAAGACCGACCGGCCGAGTAAAAATACAGGTCTACTCCTTGCTGGTGGTAGTCTAGCGTCGCTGTGGCTGGTCTCACTCCTTCGCCTTGGCAGTGAGACTGATGACATCAACGGTCGATCCCGCGTTCTGGCGTTGCGCTACTGCGGCCGCTACCACCTTACAACCTACACAACGACTCGGAATCAGGCAGCCAGACGTGTCAATACAGTGATTTCAGTCGTGACGGCAACGGACAGCCACTCGTACTGCCTATTTGGGATGGTTTGGTCTATGCTGTGCCACAGCCGATGTCATTTGGCATCGCGCTGGTTTGGCACTATCTGAGGCGGAGATGGAGGATCACTAGGGGTAGTGATCAACACTGTTGTCTCTGCCGTGTGGCCTGAAGCACTTGGGATGACGTTCTAGAAGTCTAGTGCTTTAATTTTGAATGATAAAGACTCAGGCAATTCCTCGACTCAATTTGATCGCAACAAGTTGTCAATTTGAAAAAAGTCTCTATTAAATCACGACTGTCACAGAATCATAATTCGTCTATCTTCAATCAAAGTCAAAGGAAACCCCACCAACATGCCCGCCATCCAAGTCGAAACCAGTACCGCTGCTCGCGATGTCGCAAAGCTCGTCGCCCGCGTTACAACCTCAACTCGTATCGGTAGAACCCGAAGCGGCGTCAGAGTCATCGGCGGCGGCATCATCGCAGCTATCGTCGTCGGCGTGGTCATCTTCCTCGCCGTAATCATCATCGGTGTCTGTCTCTTCCGCCGACACAAGACCCAGAGCAAGAGACGTCAGCAGGAGATGAACAAATACTACGGCGGCGACGGCCGGTCCAGCATCGGCACTGACGCCCCTCCGCCCGGCCCTGGCTACGGAAACAACAACACCAGCAACGGCTATGGCTACACCCAAGGTTACGGTCAAGGTCAGAACCAGGGCTACGGATATGCGCACATGGCTCAGCCTGGTGAGGCTGGATATGTGCCACCGAGCAACGGCGGCGTAGCTCCGATGGCACCTGCTTATACCGCCAACCATGTCACGCAAACGAAGTAATGATGTACGGAAGAAAGTCACGATACTGAAATGAGCGAGGAGAGATGTTTTATATAATACGATGATGTTTTGTAATTATAGTGCGATACCCAAGGCCTCATGAGTTGTAATAATAAATATATTTAGTTGAACTTATGCAAGGTAGTTCCTAACGATATTCCCTCGCAATCG